TGATGTTTATTTCCGGTTACCAATCACGTGTGGTGCAAATAGGCGCGCCCTCCACAAAATTTCTCACTCACTAATTAGCTTGTTTACCCATTCCCTCCTAACATTTAATATCGACATGGATATGATCATGAGATTCCTATCAGGAAGACCTACGAAGAAGGTAAATCCTTTCGGTGGCATCGCGATGGGCACCTCTCGTCAAACATTGAGTAATAAAGGGGATCAGGTGTTGGTATTACTTCTTCACTTAAACCATTGCACAGTATTTAGAAGAAGACAAACCAGCGACAAGGGTGCTGATCGCGCAAACACGTGTGTTTCCCAAATTTACGTTGTGCTATTCATCCAACGTAGTGGAAATTCATTTCTCCTCACCGGAGAGGTGCCGTCCAGGTGTGGGCTCTGTGGCTCAAGAAGTCTTAAACGTCTGGATTTAATGTAGTTGAGGTTATGAAAAGTGAGAAAAATCGGGCCATCCATCTTATAAAGTTCAGTCAGTCAGTATATTTAGGGATAAAAACAAGGCTTGCGCCTTTGAACTGCCTATTTGTTACATCAAGATCTCAAAAATTAGAAATAATGTTAACAAGTTTTCAGTCTGGAAAATATAGAGAGTCACATGGTGCAATGGTGCTGTTGGTGCAATTGTGCTGTAACATATGCATATCAAGTCGGTGTTTGAATAGTTTCAAAGATTGGGACATAACAGTCGCCTCAGGTAGGTTATTCCACAGGTCCACGATCCGATTAGAGAAAATATACCTCCTCAAATCCAATCGTCCTTGGAGCACCTGCAGTTTGAAGGGATGGCCCCGGAGATTAGCTGTAGTGGCGAATTGGAAAAAGTCGTCAAATATGAGAGCGCAGGCCAAGCCACGCACGATACGGAAAGTTTGCATCAAATCTCCGCCGATAAATTAGTTTAAGGTTCTTTAGGTGGACCTCATATGGTAGTGCACCTTGCCTTCTTATTACTTTTGTGACCCACTGTAGCACCTTTTCAAGTACGTTATAATCCTGCTGCATTCACGGTATCCAGGCTTGAATCGCGTATTCAGGATGTGGTCTTATGAAGGTACCGAAGATTTTAGAGAAACAATCCTCATCAAAATCTGTGAATTCCCGCTCGATGGCGTACAAAATTTATGTTGCAGTTTTAGCCGCCTTACAATATTGCGTAGAAGGCTTGAGGTTGTCTGTCATCCAGATGCCAAGATCTTTCCGTATTTCTGTTTCTTGGAGTGGGATTCCGTTCAAATAGTAGGATCGCGCATCAGGGACCATATTTCGATTTCTCAGACGCAGCAGAGTGCATTTGTTCGAATTGAGGGACAGGAGCCACCTATGTGACCAATCGTTTAATCGACAAAGATTTTCCTGGAAGTTATCTTCATCGGCGCACACATGATGTCTTCCATAGTTTTACATCATCTGCAAACATGGCACACTCGCAGTCCAATTCCTGTACACAAGTTGTTAACGAACAAGTGAAAGAGGGTCGGTCCGAGTACTGAACCTTGAGGGACAGCGCTCTCGATGACTGTCAGCCTTGATTGCTGGCGTCCTACAAACACAGTTTGGGAACGATTAGCGAGGAAATTCTCAATCCACGTAAGAAGTCTGCTTCCGATAACCATCAGTCTCAACTTTTCCAGGAGACGTTAGTGTGGAACACTGTCGAAGTCCTTCCGGAAATCAATGTAGGCTACATGTCCGTTTTCTTTTGCATCAGTTGCCCTTGTCCAGCCTTGCATAGTTTGTATGAAACAAGCTTG